GGCGGCGTTGAGGTCGAGGGCGGGGGCGGCGTTGAATCCGGGGTCGGGGGCGGCGTAGAGGGTGTGCGGAGAGCACGCGGCGGCCGACGGGCGACGGCGGCAGCGAGACCGGAGGAGTTCGATTTGGGGGGAAGTGGCAGTGGGGAAGGACAAATTCGGTGGTTAAGTCAGAAGTAGCAGTAGCGTGTTCCAGAAAGTGCGCTACTGCTACGTTAGCTACAACGCGTTCTGGGATAGGCGCTACCGCTACTCCTTTCTCTTTCCCCCCTTTTTCATTTATTTTTCTTCACATTTTTTCCTTTCACCTTCTTCTATTTCTTTCATTTTCAATTACCTTTCTATTTGCTTTTCATTTAATTTTATACCTTTAGCAGTAGCGAGTTTAGAATAAAATGCGCTGCTACAAAGAAAGTAGCGGTAGCGCGGTTCCATATAGATCGCTACTACTATGTGTAGCCTATCGGCTAAGCCGTGGGAATTTTAGTAGTAACGTGTTTACAGCAAGACGCGCTACTGCTAGGAAATTATCTGCAGCGCGGTTTGCACAGGCGCGCTACTGCTATTTAGCACCAGCGTGCTTTTTTGACCCACGCTACCGCTAGAGTTCTATGTATAAGGTTTTTCCTAGTAGTGTAGGGGGCCAACGGCTGGAGATGCTCTAACACCCGCAGGCCCCTCTCTTGAACAATGGAAGGATTGCACGCCTTGGTGCAAGCCCCGTCCGGCCAGCAGTACTAGTACTCCCTGCGTCCCAAAATAAATGACTCAACTTTGTACTAGCTTTAGTATAAAGTTAGTACAAAATTGAGTACAAAATTGAGTCACTTATTTTGAAATGGAGGGAGTACAAGTTACCGCCATAAATTCATATTAAACCCACAATAATATCGTTTTACTTCCGCTGTTTATAAATATTTATCTTTTTAGAGATTTCAAATAGAGTACCACATACAGATGTATGTAGACATATTTTAGAGTGTACATTCATTCATTTTGCTCCATATGTAGTCATTTGTTGAAATATCTAGAAAGACAAATATTTAGAAACAGAGGGAGTACAAGTTTCAGAATAAAATTGGATGCCTAGCCTGATATGAATGGTTGTTCAGTTTAGAAATAAAGATGGGACAATGTTCCTAAAAAATACAGTAGATATGGACAGGGCGCGAGCGAACTGTCTGGTTAGCCACTCGCATTCTGTCAGCGCTCGGGCGGCTTCCAGTTTTGGCAGACCGTCATCCAGCTGCTCCCTGTGCTTCGCATTGGCACATCCATCTTGGTTGGTACTGGGTCCTCGACCCTGTTCTGGTTTGATCGGTGGATTGGCGACAGCCTCCTGGCCGCACGATTTCCGGAGCTCTTCGCCATTGCTGTTGACCCTCGGGTCTCTGTCGAGTCGGCCCTTATTGACCTAGGGCGCCTCGCTTTTCGCTGTCCCTTTGGCCCGCCTGAAGTGGCCGTCTGGGATGCCCTCCTCCAGGACATCGCCCTTCTCCCGATGAACGTCACCGACACCCCGGACGCCATCTCTTGGCGTTTGGAACCATCCGGCTGCTTCTCCACCAAATCCCTCTACGCGGCCATCGCCCCTTCGACGGCACCCGAGCCCTTCAGTCTGATTTGGGACATCCGCTTACCCCTGAAAACCAGGATCTTCCTATGGCAATGGATCCGCGGCCGCCTCCCATCCGGCGTGGAGGTCCTCAAGCGAAATGGACCCGGAGATGGGATTTGTCCCCTGTGCGGCACGGTGGAGGACGCTAATCACATCTTCTTCTTGTGCTCCACGTCCCAGTTTCTCTGGTCCAGTTTCCGCGAGACGGTTGGGGGCCAGTGGTGCAACTCCAACTTCCCTGACCTGCTTGCGGAGATTCACGCCTCCCCCCTCGCTACCGTCATATTACATGGCTCTGCGTTGGGGTCCTTACCTGGACACTTTGGACCGTTCGCAATAAGCTTGAGAGCCAGAAGGTGCCTCTTCGATGCGCTACTGACGCCATCTTTAAAATGTGTGGGTACTTGCAGCTTTAGCGGCCGCTTAGCCGCCCACAGGACCGGGACGTCATCAACACCCTCCTCGCCGACCTTCGATCGCTGGCCTTCCGCTTGGCGCCCCCGCTCCCACCGCCACCCCCGGAGCCCGACTAGATGCTCCGTTGCATCCCGTGTGTGCGTGCTTTTTCTGTTTTTCAGGGCTTGTTGAGTTGTGCCCTCAGCATTAACCCTCTTGGCTGCTACCGTCTGTACTGGACCTTTGTGTTTGTGTGCGTGTGTGACCTATGTTGGATGTTGGCTTGGGCAGTTGCTTTATAATATAAAGCGGGGCGAAAGCCTTTTTCGGTAACTGTCTGGTTAGTTATCTTGCTACCTATCAGACTCAGTCTAGTTCTACACAGCTCTCCTCACGCCATTGTACTCCACGCATAAAGGTTGCACGCCCATGTCTGCCTACAAATTAAGCATTGTATATCTCTTTAGTACACGAAAATTCAAGTGAGGTGATCAATAATCTCTCTTTGTGGTTGCGATGCACAAGGGGGGAGAGGAAATGAGATTTACAGGGGTAGAAAACGTTGGATAATTCAAGAAAAAGTTGTCTTGCTAACTTGCTGTCTTTTCCGCAAATGTTTTAACTTCACGTGAAAAGAAAGAGAGGGGTTTTTAACTAAAAGAAGAAAAGATCTCCTGCGGTGTTATGGGGATATATGCATAAATGTGTTTTTTTGCGGGGATATGCATAAATGTTTGTCAGAGAGCAGAATAGGCGAATACATAGGGTAAATACAGCCGTGTTGTGTACGAAGGGCAAAAAGGTGGGCCCGTAACATATACACAGGGCAGTCCAGTGCGACTCATAATCATCTTGGCACAAATATGAACCTCAGACGACCAGTGCTCCAACATAGAGTGCCATAACTCTTACTATAAGTTAATGTAAGTCCCTCCACGGGGTAACCAACCATCTTCTCAGGTCATTCCTAGGAGTGAGCGGTTTGTTCTCCATCAGCCTCTTGGAAGGGGTTTTTGATCTCCTCTGTTCCCTCGGTTGGTGATACGAGCATCACCGCTGTGCCCCTGCAGACCTGCAGTTAGTAGTCGTTAGAGGATGTTTTGATTGCTGTTTAATTACGAATATGGTTGACAAAAAAGATTTCAAGGAAAAACGGCCATGGGAAAAAGAACCATGGAGGGCGAAATCCACTACTCTTGAAATCACAATCAGCAAAACCAATAGAGAAGCGATAGCACTTAGGTCGATACTGTAAAGAAACTTACAATGAGACCAAGCTGTCTGGTTTTTGTTGACAGTTTCAGTGGATCGTCTTGCTCTGTAAAATAAGATGACATGTGTTAAGTGTGATAGTCATTACACATTGTCCATGTCTTTACAAGTGCACTACAATTAGGTATTTCACTATTTCTTTTTTCCATTCGATCCAAAACGGATCGGGTTCCACTATGAGTCGATAACGGAACATCGAGCAAAAAACACAAAAAGCATGAAAACAAAAAGACAACAATTAGGTATTTACTGGTTGATAAATGCAGACACCAGTTATGGAATTTTGGCCACCTCATTTGTTCAAGCAGCGATAGCAGCAAGTCCTCTGTATGGTCAACCAGTATGCTAGCGTCGTGGTAACTAAGGCGATGCATGAACTATGGTAATTTTTTTCGAGACCAAGCTCCAAATAAAATGCATAACTTTGCATCTTTTTAAGGGCACAAGACGAGATCAAATTAACCTATGTCGAGTTGTACCTCTTTCAAACTCAATCGCTTCATCAAGCACCAAGTTCAGAAGCTGGTCATAGCCCTTCAAAGTTCCTATAACTGCAGGTGTACAGATGCCAAAGTCAGCACGTGTCGCATTGGGATAAACTGCAAGGCAACAACAACAATAGTTTCTGCCGCAAGGTATAAAAATGCCAAAGTCAGCACGTGTCACGTTGCGATAAACTGCAAGGCAATAACAACAATAGTTTCTGCCGCAATGTATACAAATGCCAAAGTTCACAGCCTTTGTTGTGTTGCGACTTACTGCTGGATAACAAGACTAGTTTCTTCTGCCTTCTGGCACACACATATCAGAAACTAATCCTCGCTTGACAAGGTATACATAGCCCTAGTGCCAAATCCCGCGACATGAGAACAAATGAAACTAAAACCAAGTCACGCTGAATGCCGAACACCCACCTATCCCACTGCCATCACAATCATTTTCACATTCATCGCCCCTACTACAGTTTAACCAGTCATGTGAACCAGCGTATGAACATCTATCTAGAGTTCTAAACAATATAAACCAAATCGAGCAGTCAGTCCTGTAGGCAAAATGGTATATAAACTAGCAGACG